TCATTTGTGCCTTGCATGGGTCTATTTCACTACAAAATAAACAAAAATTCATCTAAACACTAATTTTAAAAAATCAAATCAAATAGATTTGTTTTTTTTCCCCCATAAATTTGTACTTATTTTCAGGGAAATTACAAAGAAAAATCTTAGAATTTGACCATTTTAACAAATTAAACTATGAATATTTAATTTTATGAGAATTGACTATTTTAGTTGACACAATTAAATATTAACAAATAAAATCTCAAGAAATCAATACAATTATTTTTGAAATTTGCCATGTTTTGCATATAAATAAAAAATAAAAAATTAAATTAGAAATCATAACAACTATTAGTTTAAGTTGTTATTACTATTTTTATATATTTGCATTCTTATTATAAATAAATATATATATATGGGTAATGCTATAGTACATATCTCTAAAAGAGTAAGTGTTATATAATTATTTTTCTTTAACCTCTACCAAATAATCATTCCATTATAGTTCTATTAAAAAAAAAACACTTATCTTAAAATCAAAAAAGCAAATTTTAATTAAAAAAAATATATTGTGCCAACTTGCCGTGCAAGCACACCAACCAACCTAGTATATATACATATATAGGTTCGATTGTCGGTTTAGTTCGGTTTAGATGCCTAATCAAATTCTAACGAATTGATGATTTGAAAACCCAAAAATAAATAGATAAATTATCAATAAATTTTAATAGTTGAATTTGATTTCTATCAAATCTTACTAAAAATAAATTCAATTAAAATCGTTGGTAAAAATAATTTTTTTACATTTTTTTACATATATCGTTAAAAAAATGTCACAAACAATTGACAATTATTGATTTTTTTTGTCACAATTTTATAAGTTGTTTTCAAAATTTACAATTAGTAACATTTTTTTGTGAATTTTTTTTTAAACTGTTGTTGAAAGTTGAAAAATGATTACTTTTTTGGGGTGTTTTTTTTAAAATTATCGCTAAAACTTATAATTGGTGAAATTTTTTGAAATTTTTTTTAAACTATCACTAAAAATTAATAATTAGTAACTTTTTTAATGTTGTTTGATCATTAATTATTATATGACATGTTAAACCATAAGTCTATCTATTAAATTTACACCCAAGTCCCCAAACTAAACCAATAAGCTTTCGTTTGGGATGTGAGTTAACTTTTTAACTATTTTAACCTAGGATTAAAAAGTCTTGTTTGAAATAAACTTTTTAAATTTTTTGACTTTTATGAGAAAAAAAATAAAATAATTATGATTTGAACGTGACATTTTGTGTTATTAATTTTTATTTTATCTTTTAGTGACTAAAATAGTCAAAAAAATCCATACCAAACCTTGCCTAAATTAACCTAAAGAGGTCGGGTAAATGACATTACAACTCATAATTACAGATAACTAAAACGATATTCCCTCCATTCCAAAATATTAGTTTCTTATTTTATTTTTTATTGTTCCAAAATATTAGTCCATTTTTAAAAATCAGGTACAAAAATAATATAAATTTCCTATTTTATCTTTTTTTTAAATTCATTGACAACATAAAAAAATATAATTATGACCTTGATATTCTCCAAAAAATGTACTATCAAAGAGTAATTTTAGAAAATTAATTTTTTTTTAAAATATAATAATTGTACTATCAAAAAAAGTTAAATTTCTTAAAAGGGACCATTATTTTGAAAAAATAATTTTTTAAAGTATAATAATTATACTATTAAAAAAAAGTTAAATTTCCTAAAATGTATTATTATTTTGGGACGGAAGCAGCAGTAATTTAGGATAATATATGCACCCAAAAAAGATGTGTACTTCAGAATTTTCCTAATAAGATTGTTTAGCAGTGTGGAGATGGAGAAGTAATTTTTTGGTCCTGGGGAACGCCACGTGGTGGTTCATGAAGCGGTGGAACACATTGGATTTGAATGATTGAGCAAGCAAACAAATATAAAAAGAAACCAACACATCCTGAGTAATTTCCAAAAATTAATCTAACATATCATCACAAACTTTCATTTAATCGCATATAATTCATACCAAATCACTCCAAAATCTATATACATACGCATTTGAAATAATAAGAGAAGAATTGAATTAAATCAGAGAGATTCAATCAACTCAAATAGCAAGAGTTCAGACACAAGCAAATTGATTTCACACATAGGGCCACAGTATAATACCATAAGATTACAGCTAAACACAGACAGATTTTGAGAGAGAGAGAGACTAGGCGAGTGGACGGTAGTCGCCGCGAGTCATATCGCGATCGACGCAGAGGATCGCATAGAGAGCGTAAACTATTCCAGGAATGTAACCTAAGATCGTCAATACCAAGCATATGAAGAACTCAACCTACAATCCACAATTTATACATGCATAAATATACATATGTGTGTGTGTATATATATATATATATAGAGAGAGAGAGAGAGAGAGAGAGAGGAGAGAGGGGGGAAGGGGCTTACGCTGCAGCAGCCATGCCTGATGCAGACGCCGACAGGAGGGAGCAAGATTGCGATCAAGATTTCGCAGAAGATCACACAGCAATTTGTCATGGTTGAGTTGAATTTAGCAGAGAGGGAGAGAGAGTTGAGAGTGAGAAAGTTGAGAGAGAGATACAGGTTCGACCTGGGGAAGTCTTAATGGAGACGGAAACAAATAGATGGGAACCACTTGGTTTATTCATTGTGGATATAATAATGAGTTGTTTGGCAATGGTTAAAATTTAATTTTTTAGGTTAAAATTTATAAAAAGATAAAATAAGTTAAAATAGTTAATAAAATAAAAATTTATAATTATTTTATTTTTTTTTATAAATATCACATCTAATTATAAAAAAAAAGTAATCATTTTTCTAAACATATAAAATATAAATATTTTAATTTATTAAAATAGACAACTTCACAAAGGAACCCAAAATATAAAAGGAACAGTTATACATCCCTCAATAAATAAAACATTAAACAGAACTCTATACATTTGACAATGAAAAAAAAATAAAAAATCAAAATATCATATCAATTAAACCCACGACATCTAAAGTTCCATTAAAATTCTCTTATTTTAGAGTTCGGAACATTTTTAATATAAAAAATGGATTAATAAATTTACACTCACGAAGAGCAGTTTACTCCAACTCCACTCCAATCTCCTCCACAAAAGCCTTGAGATTCATGTCCGAAGATCCACCTTCCTTCACTGCTTCTCTTGTCAACTCCTTCCATTTCTTCGCATTTCTCCTTATTTCTTGTCCTATCTCATCACCCCCCATCACCTCCTCTATACACCTCTTAACCTCTTCACTCTCTACTATCCCTTCTTCATTTGCCCTCACTCTCACCCCTGTTTTCCACACCTCTGTAAGCATCTTCGCATTCGTCGTTTGATCTGACCAATAAGGAAACGCCACCACCGGAACCCCAGAGGCCAAGCTCTATGAATAAAAAATATCAAAATTGATGTAACTCAAAATAGATTAAAAATTAAAAACTAACTTTTAACTAGCTTCCAAATTGACTCTTAGTTGGGGCATTTAATATTCTAATATTGTATGTTGATAAACAAGATAACAAGTTTAATATAGTATACAAATGTGATAAGAATAGTGTTTGACGAGGGTTAATATGTTGGAGCAAGGCTTGGGCTGGTTGAGCTAATGTACTTGGCCTAAACCAATGAATTGCTCTAATGCAGGTCAAACAAAGAGTTGGGTTAGACCCAGTCAGCCACCCCAAGCTAGGCCAATTAAAGAATTGGGCTAGACACTACAACAAAAAAAAATATTTGGTAAGAAACTCATTTAATCTCTAAACATCAAATTTTCATCACCAAAGTAATCTGTTAAGTAGCTAGTGACGAAAAATTGTTTCGTTACCTATTTTTCATTTTTGACGACAAAAATTTTCATCTCTAAATGTTGCATTTTTCGTCCTCTACAACATCAATTTCGTCATTAGAATTAGATAATATTTTATTTTAATTGATTTGGCCACGAAATATTTCGTCACCAAATATGAACATAGAGGTTTTAGTGACGAAATTTATCCTCACCAATGATATAGTTTAAGGTGACAAAAAAATTCGTTACTAAAATGAGCACAAAAGAAAATTCTTCAATGACAAAACATTTTGTCGCCAAATATTTCAATTTAGCGACAAAATATTCAGCAAATGTGACAAAATTATTCGTCATGTTGTTTAAAAACTAATAGTGACGGTTTTTTTTTCGTCACTAATAATACTTAAAAAAATTTAAAATGAGGGTAATATTTTCAATTTTCAAATTTTCTTCTCACTAAAAATTCCTTACGCATTTTAATAACCTGTTCAATAAAATATCTATTACAAATCAATATAAAAATCTGTTCATTTTCATAAACACCACAGTCGAAATGTCTCATAATATTCGCAAAAATACAATATCAACTGCGGATTACCAAACACATCTCCTAATATCCACAAAAAAATATGTGTCTTAATATCCACAAAAATATAATATCAAGTGCAGATTATCAAACATGTCCTCTAATATCCACAAAAATATAAAATTTATAACGCAACCAAAATACATATAAGATAATATGAACAAAAACACAAAATGAGTAAGCGTTTGCTCTGTAGATTACCAAACACGTCCATATCTAATCTCCAATTTGCAACAAAACAAAACAAAACAAAAAAAAAAAAGGGAAGACAATTATTATCTTATCAATGAAATATACAATTTAATATTTTTCAAGCCTAGGTATTGGAAAAGTATGGTTGCGTTTCGTAAAGCTTTCTAACTATGATCAGAGAGTAGGAGTTGTATTTTGAGTTTGTGAGTTTTGGAATTATGATTTGAGTATGGAAAATTTGTTTGGTGAAAGAGTTTTGAAAAGAGTTTTGCATTGAGTGAGGAATTTTTGATGTGGCATATGATATTTGATGCAAAACTTACAACTCATAACCAATTATATAACTCAAAATTCTATTAAAACACATAAAAAAAAATTTTAAATTCAGAAAATATTTTTTTGAATATATAAAAATTAACTTATGTCAATTGCAAAAAAAATAAAAATAAAATTGCACTGTTCCAGTCAACCGGTGGAACGACCGGTTAGGCTAAATTTGAAAAAAAAAAAATTTTGAAAATCACGCCTCACGTAGAGTTTTCTGAAGAGTTTTCTAAATGTTGTAAAAATGTGATTTGAGAATGCTATCCAAACATCATATTGAAATATGGGGGTAGAATCATAATTTGGAAATCATTCCAAACACAGCATATATTTTTCGACTTAGTTTTCAAACATGGAGTCACATGCTAGTTCTGTAAGTTTTCACAAGTTACAATGGTCCCTTCCGAGGTGTTCGAGGTATTCCCCAGGCCATCTCGTGATTGTTTCACAATTTTGGCCCCTGATGGACTATTTTCAAGCTTAAGTGTTGGAAAAATGCATTTTTCGATTTAGTTTTCAAATCGGGAGTCCCGTACTAGCTCCGTAAGTTTCTAAACCTTACATTGGTCCCTCCCGAGGTGTTCAGGGTGTTCCTTGGGCCCTTTCGTGGCTGTTACATGATTTTGGCCCCCGATGGCCTATTTTCAAGCCTAAGTGTTGGGAAAGTGCATTTTTTGACACCGTGCTAGTTCTGTAAATTTTCATAAGTTACAATGGTCCCTTCCAAGGTGTTTGAGGTGCTCCCAAGGCCTTCTCGTGGTTCTTTCACGATTTTGGCCCCTCGATGGCCTATTTTAAAGCTTAAGTGTTGGAAAAATATAACTTTTGACTTAGTTTTCAAACCAAGAGTCCCGTGCTAATTCCGTAAGTTGTCACAACTTACATTGGTCCCTCCCGAGGTGTTCAGGGTGTTCCCCGAGCCTTTTAGCGGCTGTTACATGATTTTGGTCCCTAATGGTCTATTTTCAAGCCTAAGTGTTGGAAAAGTGCATTTTTTGACTTAGTTTTCAAACTGGGAGTGCCGTACTAGTTCCGTAAGTTTCCACAACTTACATTGGTCCCTCCCAAGGTGTTTAGGGTGTTCCCCGAGTCTTCTCGTGCCTGTTACACAATTTTGGCCCCCGAAGGCCTGTTTTCAAGGCTAAGTGTTGGAAAAGTGCATTTTTTTACTTAGTTTTCAAATCGGGAGCCACGTGCTTCTTTCGTAAGTTTGCACAACTTATGTTGCTCTGTCTCAAGGTGTTTGTGATGTTTCCTGGGCCTTCACATGCATATTTCACTATTTTCCCGGGACCTTTCGCGCCTAAATGTCAAAGTAGCTTTTTTATTCTACCATAGTTGAAGAAGAAATTTTCTACTAATTAACATAGAAACATAATATACTAACCAAGAAGCTTGTCCATCATAATCTAAACTTTCCCCACTCTCAAAATTTCTCATGATACCTTTTTGTCTCAAACACTCTATGTTTTTTCTCTGACTTTTGAAACCTTGCAATTTGTTCATTTTGATGTGTTATTTGTATCTCAAGGCATTGAACATAGTCACTATTTTCAGCAGGTCCAATAGTTATATTCATAGAAGAAGAAGGCCTCATACTGAGTCCTTTCACATAACCTGACCTTGGCTTAAGCACCTTGACCGACAACTCCTCTGAGGTCAAGGGGATCACACCAGTCAGTGAGGGGTGTTATGCTTGCGTCTGTATCATGTTGTCCTATTAATTTGACATAAATCAAACAATTATTAGTTGTTCTACCCTACACAGCAAAATAAATAATTTTATTAAAATTAATATGCATTGCCTTGTACATACATAATTACTTGGCTCTCCGACGAAATCCATTCATGCGTGTCTGAATTATAATGGATGGACTTGTAAAATTTTGCCAAATCGGGCACTTTTCCATTTGCAATTATCTAATTCATTAGTTTTTTAATGTTATTCCAAATATTTAAATAAAAAAGCCTACTAATCCAATAAAATAACTTAGTAGAATGCACTGAGCTATATACCCTGACCGGGATTGATTTTGATCCACATCGATGTTTTGTTTTCATTTGCATCTTATTATTCACATTAGTTAGTGATTGTTCCTACACAGTTGAAACACCAATAAAAATAAGAAAAGATAACATTAGTAAAAAGAAACTTAATTTTTGACAATTAACATAAAACATTTAACCTTGAATTTTTTACTATTCTACTTGTCAATTAGAGATGTCCACTGATTAAGAGTAACACTTTCAAGTTGGTGGCTTATCGCATAATCCTCCCCTCTTGCATCCTTAAGTTGCTTGTATTGTTTGTGCAGCTTATAGGTGAAGCAACTCAATCGTCGACCAAACTGTGTGTCTAAGGCATTTGCTACATCACTCCAATTGCCTTATAGATCAAACTAATCCTGCAAAATCCAAAAAAAAAAAAAAAACATCATAGCCTAACAACTAAACAACATTGTCCACCAACCAAAAGGAAGCTAATACAAAATAGACATTAAAGAAATACAAACTAAAAAACTAGTAGGTGCAGCTTAAAACAAGACTGTGAATTCTTAAGTAAGAAAGTTGAGTATAGTAACACCTTGAACACATACATAGCTCATTATAAAACAACTAAAAAAAAAGAGACAAAACATAAAAAGATAAATGATCCAGTATAACTTGTAAACATGAAAACCATAACTAATTAATTCATTAAAAAGGGAAAGACAGAGATGCTTATCTGATTCAAGGT